CTTTTTCTTAAAAACCTCCAGTGATGGAGGCAAGCCATTCATGTACTCAAATTTAAGCCCAAAATGTTGGAAATGTAAGGTACCTTCTTACACGCTTGGTGGCTATGTCCTGAAGCGAAAAAAGTACTGAACTAAGATACAAGGATGGCTTCAAGAGATAATAAAATGTCGAATAGAACTAAGCCCGAAAACATTTCTCCTGGGAATACTTAAAACAAAATTTGATAGAAAGATAAAGATATTTGATTCTACACATATTAACAGTGGCAAGAATTGCGTTCGCCCAATACTGGAAGGAACGCAATACACCACCAAAGGGGATTGATCATTCAGAAGATATATGAATGTGCCGAAATGGATAAACTGACCCTAGAACTAAAAGAAAAAGATGATTCGGAATTTTACGCGGTCTGGGAAAAATGGTACACCTGGATAGATAATCGAAATAAAAATTGGAAATATACATAAGGCTATTGAGGACTAGATATTGAATGTATATCATGTATATATTGTACGGAATGTTGATCCGAAGTATACAAAAATGACACAGTCTGTTGATTATGTACTAGAGTTGTGTAAAGGAAAATTGTAATAAAAATTATTTCAAAAAGAGAGAGAGGGGGGGGGGGAGAGCGTCTCTTCGGATTAGAGAGAACGGGGCAGCAATCAGGAATAGCTGCAGAGCAAAAAATTATTCAGGCCAAAGGAATAAGGCAGTGGTGAAATCCAAATTTTTTTACTACCGGGCGTGGCTTGGTGGGTGTGGTGTGGCTTGATGGGCGTGACAGGGGAAGGTGACTGCAAAATCTCCATTCCCATCCCACTCCAGGGGAAGGATACTGCAAAATCCCCATTCCCTCCCCACTCCTGGGGAAAGGATATTGCAAAATCTCCATTCCCACCCCACTCCGGGGGAAGGATACTGCAAAATCCCCATTCCCTCCCCACTCCTGGGGAAAGGATATTGCAAAATCCCCATTCCCAGCCCACTCCAGCGGAAGGATCTTGCAAAATCTCCCTTCCCAACCCCACTCTGGGGCCAGCCAGAGGTGGCATTTGCCGGTTCTCCGAACTGCTCAAAATTTCCGCTACCGGTTCTCCAGAACTTGTCAGAACCTGCTGGATTTCACCCCTGGAATAAGGCCATTCCTCATTTTCACAGAAAATGAAGAGGGAAGGAAGGGGAGGCCCATCTGTAAATATAATTCTCGTTTCTTCCTAATCTTATTCTCCATCAACAGTCAACAATGAAGAGGCTGAGCTAAATTTGGAGCCTTTGACTAACAGAATATCTTTCCATCAATCCTTGGCCAGGAGACTTGAAGCACCAATAGAGAACAATCCAAGCAAAGCAGGTAAGACAGGGGAAAAAAAACCCTGCATATATATATATATATATATATATATATATTTCCCTTGAATAATCGTGCTATCTCACCGTCCCAAAACCCTACCTGTCTTTTCTCCATGCCCAAAAAAGCTTAAAGCACAGTCCTCTTTTCTTGAAGATTGTTTCAAAGAGAGAAGCAACCAATGAAGTATAAACTTCCCAACAAGGAACCCCCCAAAAATCTGTATTTCCTGCAACCTTACAGGTTCTGTATTTTTTTTCCCAATAGAAATCAATCAAAATAGATTAGGAATAATGGGTAATAAAAATAGGGATGAAATTTGGCATTTTTGGCTGCCGCCGCACACGGCTAGCTCGTATTGATCCAGTAGGACTCCAAATATTTTGAAGTTTCGTTTTTCATTGCAGGTCTCGGTCCCTCCAGCTTCAGTGCCAGGGAATATGTTAAAGAGGTAAGAAGGGTGTGTGTGTGTGTGTGTGTGTGTGAGAATGGAGAGAAATTAGATCTGAAATGGTTTGGGGGTTTTTTGGTCCTTTTTTTTTGCCTCTGAAGATTTCCAATTCTTTTTCTTTTTTTCATTTTATTTTGGTAAATTTTCGTTCATAAACATGGGGGTGGGATGGGGGGTCACGTGATCCCCTTTTTTGCGACCTTCGGACTAGCAAAGTCAACGGGGAAGCCAGATTCAGTTAACAACGGGGGTTTACTCATTTAACGACGGCAGGGATTCCCTTAACCAACATGGCAAGAAAAGTCGCGGAATGGGCCGAAGCTCCCATGAACAAATGTCTCACTTAGCGACGTAAATTTTGGGCTCCATTGTGGTTGTAAGTCAAAAAATGTCTGTTTTTTTTCCCCCCCACTTTCAGGCACCGATTGGAAACTTCTCCCGGAATATGCTGTTAAGACGCTTATGGGAATCTGCCAGGAAGCAGTACAAGAAACGTAGGAACCTCTCTCAATGCTTCTGGAAATATTGTGTGTGACCGGCTGGGAACCCACTCGCTTCCAATCCCTTGCCCTATAATTTATGACGTGATCAAGCAATAGACTAGATTCCTGCATATCATTTCTGGAAACGCACACGTGATGAAAATAAAGTCATACCGAAGAGGGCAAAAACTCCTATGTTACTTGCATGGGATTTAATAAATCTGTATATTAGAAATTCTGTATATAGCCCTACAGAACAGACAGTGCACAGTCGACATGTGCGTTACTGCTTAACTGCGGCTAGGAAGCAGCAATCTTTTATTCGGAGAAAAGACAAACATATAACCACTGCCATCTACTGGTTGAAGAATATGTATCTTTCTTTACTGAATATTACTGTAGGTGTTGTGGAAAATACATGAACACTGCATTCCAATAAAATCATCTCTAGATTTGTTCGTATTATTGGAAGCAGATAATGACTTTCCTTCTCTCTCCCCTCCCCCCCCCCCCCCCCCCCCCCGGATCCCGTTCCCCTTTAGAAAATTAGAAAGGCACACATCGCAAAAATCAATTTATATAACTGCCCTTCTCTCAGACATCATTCTGGGTGGCTGACGAAGATTAAAAAATACGATGTAAAATTTGTATTGCGCACCCCAAAATGCTTTTCAGAATTAGGGGATTAGCTGTATTCCTTCTTCCTATTTTCCCGCAAAAACAACCCTGTGAGGTGGATTGGATTGAAAGTCACCCAGCTGGCTTTCATGCCTAAGGCGAGACTAGAACTCACCATCTCCTGGTGATTGGCCCAAAATCACCCAGCCGGCTTTCATGCCTAAGGCAGAACTAGAACTCCCAATTTCCTGGTGACTAGCCTAAAGTCACCCAGCCGGCTTTCATGCCTAAGGTAGAACTAGAACTCCCAATCTCTCGGTGACTGGCCCAAAGTCCCCCAGCTGGCTTTCATGCCTAAGGCAGGACTAGAATTCCCATTCTCCTGGCGATTGGCTCAAAGTCACTGGCAAGCTTTCATGCCTAAAACAGAACTATAACTCCCCATCTCTCGGTGACTGGCCCAAAGTCGCCCAGCTGGCTTTCATGCCTAAGGCAGGACTAGAATTCCCATTCTCCTGGCGATTGGCTCAAAGTCACTGGCAAGCTTTCATGCCTAAAACAGAACTATAACTCCCCATCTCTCGGTGAAAGTCACCCAGCTGGCTTTCATGCCTAAGGCAGGACTAGAACTCCCAGTCTCCTGGCGATTGGCTCGAAGTCACCTGGCAGGCTTTCACGCCTAAGGGCGGAACTAGAACTCACCTGGTTCCTAGTCTGGTGTCTTAACTACTAGACCAAACTTCCGTTCTTGAGCTGAGAACCCCGTCAGCAGCAGTGACTCCCAGCAAGCATCCTTGATACCAGCCGACCCCCTTTGCCAAGGGTTGGCCACCTCCCTTCCAGAGGGTCCCATACAAGGGACTCCCTATCCCATCTTGAGGGGCCGCTAGACCATTCGAGAACCTTCCTGGCAATCGGTCAACCAGCCGATCCATCATCGTTCGGCCGGCCGGAGGGAGAGAGCTAAGCGATGCCATCTCTGCCATCCGATCGAACGAGTGAGTCATCGTTTAATGGCTTCATCTAATTTCTTGCGGCTGCTTATTTCGAACAAGCCGCCCACGGTGGATGTTATCTCAAGAACGCCGAATAAAGGGGCCGTTGTGTAACAGGTCCAAAATGACCCTTGGAAGGGTGTGTATGTGTAGTGTGTAAAAGAGTGCCGGTAGGACGGTCAGCTTGGAAGGTAGGAGGATGCTGCCACTCTTCCTCGATTTGAGCGGGGGAGCTCCAGAGAGCAGCTGGGGGCCGACATTGGAGAGCGCCGTGCATCCGTCCACCCTCTTCGTTGAGCTGCGTTTCCCCCGTAGAAGACAAGACAGGTCGGTGAATATTTCAGGAGAGAATAAGAAGCTGGAGGGGACCTCAGAGGTCTTCTAGTCCAACCCCCCCCCGCGGCTCGAACAGGAGACTTTCGACCATTTCAGACAAAAAGTTCTCCGGTCTCTTTCTTAAATATCCCTTCCAGTTTTATTCTGATCGATTGGAATGGTGTAAGGCAGTGATGGCTCACCTTTTTGCCATCGCGTGCCAAAAAACTGGGGGAGCGTGGGGTGGTTGCACGGGCGCGTGGCCACACCCGTAATTCTATGGGCCCTGCCCCCCCCCATGCATGTGCGCGCAACTCCTCCTATGCTCCCACTGCTTTTGGCATGTGATGGCCTGGTGGGGCCGGTAGGCCCATTTTTTTTTTGCCCTCCCCAGGCTCCAGAGACTTTCTAGGAGCCTGGGGAGGGCAAAAACAGCCTTCCCCATCACTCCGGAGGCTGGAAACACTTCCGGTGGGCCCAAAGCGTGTGTGTGCTGGAGCTAAGGCAACGCTCGCGTGCCCACCAATATGGCCACAGGTGGCACGCATGTTATAGGTTCGCCATCACGGGTCTAGGACCTCCTGCTTGAGCAGGGGGTTGGACTAGGAGACCTCCAAGGTCCCATCTCTATTCTGATTGAGGATGAGGACTCCATAGTTTTTTCCCCGACCCCCCCAGCTCTTGCTAGTTTGTGCAATGTTTTCTAAGCTCTTTTTTTTTTTTTTTCTATTTATGACTCCTGCAAGGACAACCGGACTCCACAAGAATTGCAAAACACCAAACGGGATTGACAATCACTCTTTTATTAAATAGCTACAATAAAAAGTTCAGCCGTTTGACCCACCGGCCTGTTGGAAATCTTGGCTGCCCGGCTGATAACAAACCAAGATTGCTTGTTAGTAGCAGACAAACATAGCTATTCAAGTCTGGTTAAGGATTGAGTAGGAAAAATTACAGTTAACGAGTACAATTTCCCAGACAGGAAAACCTATTTTCCGGCGTTTCCAAATCATGACGTTTTTCAAGCTATACAAAAGTATTGAAATACCCCCCCCCCCGCCCCTCCCCAGAAATATAACCAGATTTCTGCAGGCAAGTAGAAAAACAATCCGTTGAGACAGCTGGAATAATTCATGTTATTTGTCAGCTGTTATTTGGGGCTATTTGGGGTGGGGTGGGGTGCTAAACCGACAGGACCAATACAAAAATGAAAGAGTGAGTGAGTCACAAAGATGATTTGATCGATAGAAAAATAAGCCTCGTTCACAGAATTACTAAATCGGCAATGTAGAACGACGGTTGCCAAAAAAAAAAAAAAAAAAGAAAATCAAAATTCTTCCGAAAAGCCATTGTGATGGTGATAATTATTTTGGCTTGCAACCCACAATTGCTCCTTCTGCACCCAACTAGATTTGCATCCAAAAGACTTCCAAAAGACTTCCGTTTTAAGTGCCCCAAATGTGCAAATCTTTGCAAGAGGCTTAAAAAAAAAGAGTAGTGTTCGCACTTGATAGTCTGCTCGATAAATTGCGGTGATTTAATGAAGGCACCATGGTGGTGGTTTATGTCACAATTGTGGTTTTATAAAAAGAAAAAAAAAGATTAATTTTAGGAAAGCAGAAGTATCAACCGATTCTCTATTTCTAACAGTCTAAGCGCGAGAGGAATAATATGGATTTGTCCGAGAAATAGCAAATTTTAATACATGATCAAGATAGGAGGCGTGTAGTTGTTTCCTTCTCCAGTTTGCACGCTGCTTCTGGAACTGTCCGGTCACTCAAACTATAAAGAGTTATAAACACAGCAGTCCAGGATAAAATAATTCGTGCATCCTTTACGAAAGCTTGGCAACAAAGCAGGTGAAAATGGAAGAATTTGGGAGGTTTTTGAACGGGATTTTAATCTTCTGCCTGGTCACCCATACACACTCCAAACTGCAAAGAAAAGAAAGAAAGAAAGATGAGCCAAAAAAAAACAATAGCATACGATAGCTTTTAAACACGACTTTTTTTAAAAAAAAATAAAATTTAATGTTTCTATACGTGCCATTGATTTACTTTTTCAATAACGGGGATAGTAGAGCTGCAGCTATCCTGCAAATGTAAATACACTGATAGAAGAGAGATTTTCAAACGAAACGTTTTTTTGCAAATAAGATTCCAGTGGAGGACAGTTTAAAAAAACAAAAAAACATGTTTTGCTTCCTGAAAAACTTTTGGTGATTATGGTGTCAGGTTCCAAGATTTTAAGGAATCCAATAGATTCCTTAAGGCCATTTTCTCTGGCCTGGCTAACAAATCTTTGAATTGCTTGTCACGATGGAACCGTTGGTGAAATCCAATTTTTTTTTTAACTACTGGTTCTGTGGGCGTGGCTTAGTGGGCGTGGCTTGGTGGGGGTGGCAGGGGAAGGATACTGCAAAATCTCCAATCCCACCCCACTCCAGGGGAAGGATACTGCAAAATCTCCATTCCCTCCCCACTTCTGAGGGAAGGATACTGCAAAATCTCCATTCCCTCCCCACTTCTGAGGGAAGGATATTGCAAAATCTCCATTCCCACCCCACTCTGGGGCCAGGCAGAGATGGTATTTTCCGGTTCTCCGAACTGCTCAAAATTTCCGCTACTGGTTCTCCAGAACCTGTCGAAACCTGCTGGATTTCACCCCTGCTGTGAACCCATCAAAATGCCTCCTTTAATCTTGGCATCAGTTATTCTTGGGGGAAAAAAACCCCGCCTCAAATAATGAAAAATTTCAGCTTTCCTTGTTCATCGCTTTCCCATAAATTTTCACCAGTCTGTCTTTTAGATGAGGTGGAAGCAAAAATACCCTGTTGCACATTTTTCTTTATCGTCCTTATTTGTTTATAATATAAAAATACAACAATTCAAAAGTAAATAACAGGAAAAATAGGGGAGGGAAAAGGGAAGGGGAAAACGTAGAACAAAGGAGGAAAAGAAAGAAAAAAATGCATTGACGTCCGACTCCGTTTGGTGTAGCAGAATCAGGTAATAAGATCAAACCTCAACTTTTAAAACTTTTAATTAAGAGTATAAACTACAGCCATTTCTATATGCGTTTTGTTTTTGTTTGTTTTTTTGCTTCAAGACATGTGGACTTCAACTCCCAGAATTCCCAAGCTAGCAGGCAGGCTGGGGAATTATGGGAGACTGACGTTATCTTGGAAGTTGCCGAGGTTTGTGATTCTGAGCAACTCACAATATACACAATACACAAATGTATAAAACCCACAGCAGGGGAAAAAAAAGAGAAGTAAAAAAAACAGCCTCAATCATCACTCAACGTAAGGATGGCATTCATAATAAATAATAATAATAAATATATGAGATATATGCAAATTATTTTTCAGCAACAGCCTAGGAAAAAGCAGTCCCCGTTTGGCAGTCCTCGTTTAGTGACCAAATTTAGGGACAAGCAACTCGGTCATTAAATGAAGCGGTTTACGATCTTACCACAGCTGCCCTTTGCTAACTGGAACGGCGAAGGACATACATGTGAGGATTGGTTCACCAAGGTCCTTTTCCACCACTATTCTGACAGTTGCTAAACAAGGCAGTCGCTAAATGAGGACCACCGGTACTTCTGGCCGGGGGCTTTAAGATACTTACCAATGATAATGATGAGAAGGACTACCACCACGGTAACCAGTATGACCCACATCTGCAAGAAGAGAAAAGAATAATATGATGAATAGAACAAAATTCAGAATAGAATAGAATAAAATAGAATTCAGAATAGACTAAAATATAGAATTCAGAATAGAATAGAATAGAATAGAATACAGAATAGAATAGAATAGAATAAAATACAGAATAGAATAGAATAAAATAGAATTCAGAATAGAATAAAATAAAATACAGAATTCAGAATAGAATAGAAATAGAATAGAATAGAATTCGGAATAGAATACAGAATAGAATAAAATAGAATTCAGAATAGAATAGAATAAAATACAGAATAGAATAGAATAGAATTCAGAATAGAATAAAATAAAATACAGAATTCAGAATAGAATAGAAATAGAATAGAGTAGAATTTGGAATAGAATACAAAATAGAATAAAATAGAATTCAGAATAGAATAGAACAGAATACAGAATAGAATAATTACAGTGGAACAGGACAGAAGAATGCAGAACAGAAGAATGCAGAAAAATGCAGAATAGAATAGAATGCAGAAAAATAGATTAGAAATAATAGAGAATAGAGAAAAGAATAGAATAATTAAAGTAGAATATAACAGAACAGAATAACAGAAGAATGAAGAACAGAACAGAATAGCAAAAATAAAAACAAAAAAAACCCGCAGAATAGAATAGAATGCAGAATAGAATGCAGAAAAAAATAGATTAGATTAGAAATAACAGAATACAAATTAGAATTAGAATAGAATAACAGAGTTGGAAGGGACCTCTGAAGGTCTTCTAGTCCAGCCCAAAAAGCTCCCTTACCTTGCAGTTCTTCCACCAATATTTCCTCTTCAGCTTGGCCGCGTTGGTCTCGAACTGAGCAGCTCCAGCTTGCAAGGCATCGGCCCGATCGTCCAGCTCGGACAGCTTCTGATCCCTCTCCAAAACCTTGTCGACGTTGACCCTCATGATATCTACCACCTAGAAGTAAAGGTTTAGAACACAGGATCGTAAGGTTAAAAGGGACCGCGGAGGTCCTCCAGACCAACCCCGACTCAAGTAGGATAATTATACACATATAATAACTCTACTCTATAGTAAAGAATACATATATTCTTTACTATATCTCTCCGGTAAAATACCCAATAGAAAAATCTCTGGTTTTAATTCTATACGCACAAAATTGGAAGGTAGAAAAAAAATCCCGTCAGAAGGTGAAGTAATAAAGAAGAGTGTAGATTGTGCAGAAATGAACAGACTAACATTAAGAATAAAAGATAAAGAGGAATCGGTGTAATTCAAGACATGGGGACGATTTTATGCATGGTTAGAAAAGAAATATGAATAAAAGACGACAGGTTAATAAATTAGACGGTGTAAAAGTAAATGAGAGAGAAGACAAAAAGGGAATATAAACTCTGATGACACCTGTGTAAATAGAAAAGGGGGATGGTGGGGGGGAAAAAGGAAAAAAAATGTTACTGTATAAATGTACAATTATGTGTGAAATTAGTAAAATAGAAAAGAAATTGAAAAGAAAGTATATATTAATAGAAAATGCGGGTTGCTCGGATACCAATATGGAAAATATTGAATCGAAAATAAATACAACAATGGAGAGGGAATGGAAAGAGGAGTAGAGGGTTAAATAGGAGGGGAGAAGGAGAGAGAGGAACAGAAGAAAGGGAAAAGGAGAGGAAGAAAGGGAGGGAAAAAAGTAGGAGAGAAGGTTAGAAAGGGGGGAAGAGGGGAGGAGTGGGGGAAAGGAGAGAAGAGGAAGGAGAGGAAGAAAGAAGAAAGTAGAAAAGGATAGAAGAAGGGAGGGAAGGGAAAGAGAGAAGGAGGAGAAGAAGGATTGTTATAAAACAAGGGAGAAGAAAGGGTAGAAGAGCAATCCCGAATATAATTAAAAAATCTTTTTTTTTCTTTAGAAAATGTATGTAATATGTATGATCAACAAATGGATAAGAGAATGCACATTTACAATGTTTATAAGAAATAAAATAAAATACTTTTTTTTCAAAAAAAGAAAAAGAAAAGAAACAAGGACAAGGGAAAAACAGATGGAAACTCATCAAGGAGAGAAGCAACCTGGAACTCAGGAGAAGCTTCCTGACGGTGAGGACAATTAACCAGTGGAACAGCTTGCCACCAGAAGGTGTGGGTTGCTCCATCGCTGGAGGTTTTTGCATGAGTTGATAGAAATGGCCTAGGGTTTCCTGCTGGAGTAGGGAGTTGGACAAGGAGACCTCCAAGCTCCCTTCTAGCTCCATTCTGATGGATTGACTGAAATGGACTGAAGTCTTGAACTTGAGCAGAGGGTTGGACTAGAACTCAACTGGTTGAGCCCTTCAACTGATGGACCTTTTAGGAAGGTCTTCGACTGGTTGGGCCTTTCAAGTGGCTAAGACACTGAGCTTGTCGATCAGAAAGGTCGACAGTTCAAATCCCCAGCACAGGTCTCCTGCATGAGCAGGGGGTTGGACTAGATGACCTCCAAGGTCCCTTCCAACTTGGGTTACTGTTAACTGATGGACCCTTCAGGAAGCCTTCCGCTGATTGGGCCCTTCAGGAAATCCTCAACTGATGGACCCTTCAGGAAATCCTCAACTGAGGGACCCTTCAGGAAGTCCTCAACTGATGGACCCTTCAGGAAATCCTCAACTGATGGACCCTTCAGGAAATCCTCAACTGGTTGGGCCTTTCAGGAAATCCTCAACTTGTTGGGCCCTTCAGGAAATCCTCAACTGATGGACCCTTCAGGAAATCCTCAACTGATGGACCCTTCAGGAAATCCTCAACTGATGGACCCTTCAGGAAATCCTCAATTGGTTGGGCCCTTCAGGAAATCCTCAACAGGTTGGGCCCTTCAGGAAATCCTCAATTGGTTGGGCCCTTCAGGAAATCCTCAACTGGTTGGGCCCTTCAACTGATGGACCTTTTCAGGAATGTCCTCAACTCCCAATGTGCTGCAGCTTCACCACCAAGCTCACCCACCATCCTACTTCTGAAGAACATGGCCATACGTACCTCATCCACTTGGTTCTGAGTCTGCTGGAGACGTCGGTTGCTGCCGGAGGCAGAGCCAGATACAGGATCACCAGACCTGCAGAAGAAAAAAAAAAAAGACAAGCCAGATTATTTATTGCCAGACGGCCATTTATAAACACCAGATACTTCATCTGGGTTACCACACCACCATTCACACACCACCATCATTCAGATATGGTGGGCTTAAAATCCTAGGATGGCTTCCTGCGTTTAGGCCACCAATAAAATGAAGTTTCAGTCACTTATCCAGCTTGTGATTAAAATGGGCACCACAAGGTCAGGTCTTAGTCCCAGTACTCTTCAATATCTTCATAAATAACTCCGATGAGGACATTAGAAAGGAAACTCATCAAATTTGCAGATGACATTTGCAGCTGACCGCAACAGCCAACACCCCAGAAGACAAGCTCCGGATCCAAAAAGATCCGGCCAGACTCAAGACAATATCATGACCTTTAACCAGGGTGGATTTATTTTATTTTTATTTTTTATTTTATTTCCAATTTATATACCGCCCTTCTCCCTGAGGACTCAGGGCAGTGTACAGCCAGAATTAAGAACATGAAATACAAATATTAAAAAACAGTTAATATATATATATAAATTTGGCCCAAATCACAATTTAAATCATGATTTAAATCCCTAGTAAAAAGGCTCGATTTAAAGCAACTCGATTTAAATCATAATTTTTAAAGAGCAGCTGTCATCTCTGCTACTCCTTTGACCCGCCGTTGACTCAACCGATCGTCCCAGTGTTGCAGAATATACAGCCTCATGCTACATAACTTAGCTCCATTTCATGCTGAATAAACTAAATTATTTATGTATCTTAAATAGAAAACTATCTTACAATGGATTTTTACCCCAAAAGTTTTTTATTAAAATAAATTCGATTAAAAAAAAAAATCCGATTTAAATCAAAAAAATCTGATTTTTTTTATTTATTTTTTAAAAAAATCATTGATTTTTATCCACCCTGACCTTTACAGATACAGAGTTGGAAGGGATATTGGAGGTCATCTAGCCCAACCCCGTTTTAACGGCAGCCAAAAGTTCTAATATGATCCTCGGTTGTATAAAATACGATGAATGAAACATCATGCGAAGAATTAGTGCCACTTTATAGAGCCACTTTATAGAGCACAAAAAAGAGGTTGGGACTTTGGAAAAAAGATGATTAAAGGTCCGGAGGCTAAAACATATGAGGAACGGTTGCAAGAATTGGGTATGTCACCCTGAGTCTTCAGAGAAAGGCGGCATATAAATTGAACTTTCTTCTTCTTCTTCTTCTTCTTCTTCTTCTTCTTCTTCTTCTTCTT